ATCAAACTGAGCGCCTTTATGTCGTTCAGCAGCCACGCCCCCGTCATCTCTGCTTCCGGCTTCACCGTCTGCACATGAGCCAGCAGTCCCTTCTTCGCCAGCGTCATGCGCATGGCAAACTCCCAGTGGAAGTAGTTGCGCTACCGAGAAGGACTTCGGCCTTCTTCGTCGACATCGAGGCGGCGTCTTGTAGCTTGAGAGCCTTGTGCGGCTGTTAACCTGTTGAATAGTGGAAGGCAAATGCCAAAATGAATTAGTTAGCAGCTACACAATCTACCCTTCCTACATGTCTGTAATTACCTTCCGGTGTGCCCTTCTTTTTCCTGATTCTGATAGCAGCCGCTCTCGAGATTCTCCCTGCGACGCCTCGACAAGATGAAAGTCGCGAGAAAGAAGTTCTGAATGTGATCCAATCACATCCAGCACTCGCTCCATTATAACCCAACCAGATTTTGCTATACGGATCCTAGTCATCATTCGTCGAGTCAGTTGGCTTGTCCAGCTCTCATTACGCGACGCCACTTCAACACGAAAACGTTGTCTATTTTCCACTTTGCTGCGGAAGATTAGTTGAACATGGCATGCTGAGGCGGTTCCTGTTGATTGGGAGACTCGTATACACTTCAGCGTACAACTGCAGGGCTCCAAGACATAAAGATATTACTCACATGGTTTTTTACGGACCTCCAACTTAAGATCGATGGAAGAAATAATGGATGATCTATCTCCTCTAATGAACATAGCATTCTGACACGTGAAAGAACTTTTCCTATTCAATGCATTAAATGAATGCGTTGAGTCATTTCCGCTAACATCAAATGAAATTGAGGCGATTCCCCATTTGAAGATTAGTTACTCCATACATGCTGCACTACATAGCGGAGTCGAACAGATGATTTACCGCACTTTATGTGACGCTTTAAGTGTCTGGATACGACCGCTTCTGCTGTCATGAGCTATTCAGACGACGGCAATACGGCCTGAAAGATTTTGTACGAACTGGTGGACTAAAACCATCATCACTCCCAGAAACCACAAGCAGCATCCAATTGATGATATAGAATCGGAACATGTTTCTTGATGAACTTCACGGTGAGTATTACCTGATAGACGATCTGAACCTGATGAGAAGAGTCCGACGTCGAGATTTGAGGATCGATTGATGAGAACAAATTTAAAAATAGGGGGTTGCTATCCTAGATAAAGAGATACATTTGCTCGGTCACGACCTAATTCAATACTGCTAGGTGCATCTTGTAGCGACAATATATTGCGAGCCTAGACTTACGATCGATCGCTCTGATAGAGAAAATTTTAGGACTCGAGACGGCTTTTCTCATTATAAGGCGAGACTCCATATCTCATTTAATAAGTGATGATCACATCGGCCGCAAGGCAGGATAAAATACCTTCACTTTGAAGCAGGATGCTCATCGTTGATGCTACCCAGCCTTTACTTTATTTGTTTTTGTATAGTCATTCTTGTGCTTTGTGCTTTGAAATCTGCCTCATTTTATTCCACCGATAGCCACCAGATGCAACGTGTCTATGTACCAATAGGCTCTTTACACTGAAACACTTAAAGCTCAATGCTAGATGACTTTCAAACGTGTATTTATGATGAAGGCCGTTGTATAGTTTTCATTTGTCCACATTGACTTGTTTTACCGGCATATTGGTACGGTCACACAAGATAGTGTGGCCCGCCCTGTCGAGTGGATTAGGACTATATTGCAAAAGCAAAATCAAACGCAAAAATTAAAGTAGCACTCGATCTAAAAAATAACTTACTTTTCAGAGTTTTCAACAATGCAGCATCTAGTCGCATCTGTTTCGAACGGTTTACGTATATCCGCATCGCTGCACACCGCAATGTTGACCACAATATATCTCGCGGAAATTGACACAATAGTTTACCATCTTTGCCAAGATAACCTCTGAGTTAAGGTGTTTCATTGCCGCTTAATTTGGGAGATGCGCTTACGTTTCGCCAAGACTTTAGATTGGTACATGTCAAGATGCTATGTCACCAGTAATATGTCCTGTATTACTGGCACGTAAACTCGATAATCGTGCCAACAATCACTTTTCTAATAGCCAAGTCTTAAAATGTAGAATGCACCATTCAAACAGCGTTTATGATGCCGTTTGGACCAAAAAAATTCTTTCTATTTTCATTAATTTGGTATTAGAGAATATTTTCTTAAAGCTGCCTTGGCGTCCTCGCTCCCTGTGTGTACAACATGTCTGATCATGAGATCGAAATGTGGACTGTACGCTTCACGTAGAGCTTGAGTCAAGTAGTCGTGTGGCTTATCGTTGTAAAGTTTTTCTGCGAGCTCAGAAACCGCCTTAAACTCGGGACTCAACAGGATAGTAGATAAAGTCTGACTGAGAGGCTTTTCAACGTGAAATTTCCATCCAATTCCCAAAACTTCAAGAGCTTCCTTCAGACTGCCAGCATCTTCGATCTTTCGCGCGGCTTCCGCTTGTTTTGCCTTGGAATTATCGAAAACTTTTCATGGATCAAGAGATTCCAATATTTCAGCGAATGACCAAAAACTTGTTTTTGTTGAAGGTTGGAACTGCGTAAGCGATTTAGCGGTGGTTGCGAGTGCGTTTGTTTCTGTTATCGGCGATACCATAGTCGTGGAGACGAGTACAACGCTTGAAAATAGAAGGCCAACAATCAGTAGAATGACTTGATATCGCATGATTATCGAGAAAGGAAAGGCTTAGTGTTTGGTGGATATCTGCAAATGAAGAAAGAAGTGCAGGATATATAGAGCCATAGGCATATGCTCCGGGAAGATAGTCACCATGGGTTCTGCTGGCTACTTTAAGCTTGTGTAGAACAGATGTTGATTGCATATTAAATGTAATGGGTTCTTAGTGTGTAGCAATCATACAAGCGATGCAACAATCAAAAATCTTCCTTGCGCGTATGCTCGATCATAATATAACACATCAAAAGTGTTTTCTTGCACGAGAGCAACACCTCAATGCTTGAATGCAATATCTGTCGGTTTCGTTGATGTATTGACTCCTCGAATGCAGCATCTGGTCAAATAGATCAGCTAGCTTCCAGCACGTGCTTGGGAAGACTTTGATGCATGTACTACGATGGCTTGGTGCGACAAAAGTGTTAAATTGACTGAAATTATTTTCCAGTTTAGTTTGATTTCGTATAAAACGTAACTTAAGCGTAAGATACAGTGTATCAATTCAAACGAGCCCTCTGAAAGTCTACCAAAAGCTAAAATACCATGAAATTATAGATTGGAGACTCACATGGCACAATCACCTTCATAATAAATGCACGTTTGAAAGTCATCTAGCATTGAGCTTAAGTGTTTCAGTGTAAAGAGCCTATTGGTACATAGACACGTTGCGTCTGGTGGCTAATCTGTGGAATAAAATGAGGCAGAATTCAAAGCACAAAGCACAGGGATAACTATACAAAAACAAATAAAGTAAAGTTTCGGCGTCTGAGCTAGCATCGACGATGAGCATCCTGCTTCAGAGTGAAGGTATCTTGTTCTGCCTTGCAGCCGATGTGATCATCACTTTCTAATTACGGAGTCTTGCCTTATAATGAGAGATGCCGTCTCGAGTCCTAAAATAATCTCTATCAGAGCGATCGATCGTAAGTCTAGGCTAGTCCACCAGTTTGTACAAAATTTTTCAGTCCGTATTGCCATCGTCTTAATAGCTCATGACAGTAGAAGCGGTCGTGTCCAGACACTTAAAGCGTCACTTAAAGATTATGGAGTAACTAATCTTCAAAAAGGGGCTCTCCTCAATTTCATTTGATGTTAGCGGAAATGACTCAACGCATTCATTTATTGCATTGGACAGGAAAAGTTCTTTCACGTGTCAGAATGCTATGTCCATCAGAGCAGGTAGATCATCCAATATTTCTTCCATCGATCTCAAGTCGGAGGTCCATAAGGATCCATGTGAGTAATATCTTTATGTCTTAGAGCTCTACAGTTGTACACTTAAGAGTGAACAATATCTCAACCAAAAGGAAACGCCTCAGCATGCCATGTTCAGCTAATCTCCGGCAGCAAATTAGAAAATAGAAACGGGTTAAAAATTGTGACGTCTTTTTCGCATTCAGTTATAAATATGCATCCTACTACTCAATAATCTGATGTCGTAATGGTTGAACCCACATCCATTTGCGATGCAAAGTAAAATTGATGATGGTACTGTTTTTTATTTCATGTAGTATCTCGACAACAGTTTAAGGCGATCCCACAACATATTGACCACCTTTCCACTCTCATTCTCCTCAGCCGTTCTTAGTTCAAACGCCAAAATCACCCAAGCGATGAAACTTCATTTGACAATAAGAACGATAATGATACCGACGTTTGATTCTGCTGCTTAAATTTTCGTGATCACTCTAATCAGGATTATCAAGTTAGCACAAATTTATTCAACGTTTGTAAGACTCGTAAATTGTAAACTCACATCATATCGCTACGGATATGTGTGTAAGCAAAATACATGCTGTCGCGAGCGAGAGGATACACGTTTGCAGGCTCTAGAATTTCCATCGCAATGCAAGCGCAAACAATAGAGTGTTTTCTTTCTGTTGTACGGAAATACCTTGCAAAGAATCGCATAATGCTTGCGAAGATCAATAGGTCGCTGGACTATTGGATACCTGCTTGCTTTTGCTATAGAAATCTCGATCCTTAACCGCAGATAATACAATCATCGCAGCCACTGTGTTCTCCACCGAGGCATATACGTCAAAAATCTCTGAGATGTCAAATATTGCGATTTGATCAGGCATTCCACACATGACATCCATTACTTATCATAGAACAGAAATACTGCGCAGCGCCATCTGGATACACGGGGAGAGCAAACGGTGCATGAAGTTTACACTCCGTCGACTAGACTACGGGCAGCTGTACTAAGGCAAGATGGAAACTAGTCATAAAAAAGATGTTATTGAGGAGGGAGAAACACTGTGACGCACAAATACTCCAGTACCACAATTCTTGACGTCACTGGTAAGTTGCCCCACAAACGTCATATTTCAACAAGTTTAAGTGCAATTGAGACCTTACCGATAAAGAGGTCATCAAATTCTACAGCTGCTATGCACCGTACGCGACTCCAAAGGCTATTTAAGCTTCAAGACCAAAAGGAAGTTTGTTCAACTGACCCAGTGTCTCGTTACACTATGTGATTATTGATGTTTCTCTTAATATTACCTAAAAGTCGAATGCAGATGATTGTGTAGGCGGTGTCGTCTGGAAGATGGTTGAAGAGATTGAGGCCACTTAGCGATACTGTTTTCTCGCTGACGTGATGACCTGAACCGTCGATAAAAATCACATTTGCTTTGCTCATCCAGGGCATCAGCACGGTCCATCAAGTCGACTGTCGAACGCCGATCTTAAGAGGAATATTATGCATCTACGCTGAGTAAGATGTATTGGCTGCTTGAAAAGTTGCTCGATCCAGTAACCGTTATCTATAATCTGAACGTCATGAACACCAAACCGGCATTCCTGATAATCTTGTACCTGGAAAAGATCCAGCATTCATTGGTGTATTCGCTGGTCAACCAATCAGCCACCTACATGCTACGCTTGCTCCTCTCCAGCTATCAGACGTCGTCATACCTTTTCGATATTTTGTCATTCTACTTAAGATTGATGTGATAATAGGTTAGATGTGTCGAGATTGCTCGAATTTGTATTATTCTACTTAACTGAATTTCTATTGTTAATGCACCACAGCGAGTCAAGTATAAGCTCATCGTCGTGTTGTTTGAATGAGTCACTTGCGATCCTATAAAGCAAAAGTTCTTGATGGCTCTTGGAAATATTTAGCATCTTTCTCGGTGGTGGGAACAACGATTAGCCATACCAAAAGAAGTGGAAAATGCACAACATGACTCAAGTCGAGAAGATTTTAGCAATCAGATCTATTGCTTTGGCCAGCTCTCAAACGTTGAGCACCTTTGCAAACCAATCAAGGACGGGCGTGAGGTCTTAGATATATCTCTCCTCGAGCGTCAGCTCTCTAACCAGCTTTGCAAATTTGTTTGGCTTATTAAGTCAAGGACTATCACAATACTATTGTGGTAATCCTCAAATAATAATCAATCTTGACTCGTAAGGACGTGCAGAAAAACTGGGGTTTGATCGTACCTTAAATGTCTCGTGTCTCGTCGAATTTGTCTGGAAACTGAAGATGAAAGATGAACCCATGAGAAGGTCACAGCTTTCTTCGGATTCGGAGAGCTTGATAAAAAGCCTGGGATAGCTCTATCGATGTGTCCCACAAATTGTCATCATCTTGATTTACACAGACAATACTATATAAGACTTAGTGCTTTAGATTTATCCTTAGGAGACAAGATACAAATCTCAGAGCAATAGTGAATAATCCAACAGACCTTTACATTTCCGAATTGATGTAGTTAACCATTGTGTCGAGCATCTTTATCAATTTGGATTGTGCAAGCCGTGGTACCAATTTGATAGTTATTAAATGACTCGAACACATCGACAGTTTAAAGATGAGAATACGACATTGTGACATATTTCAGAAGTCGAAGAATTTAATCAATAATTTTAAAGACAAAGCGAGACAGAGACACTGTTCATTTGATATTCACTGCGAAGCGGCGATACTAATCTCTCTTTCCAATTGGGTTTGTCTATTGTCACACTACCCGAATAATAATTGGTTTCGTTGCGCGTACACCTTTTGCAACTCGATGATATGTCTATTTGAATATTGAATTATATTTTCAATAGCACATATGATGTCAACGACGACGATACGCGACTTTGCGAGTGAAAAGTGACCACAACTTTTGTATAAGAAGCAGAGCAAGTAGTCTAACCGGGTTGTTAGCAAGTTGGCGTGGACTATTCTTCATTCTAAATTAAAGCATTTAAATAATGAAATTGTGGGACGATGCCAGGAGAATGATTGGACCAAGCGTGCAGCGTCGTTCCTCTCTTAGCCGACGGCGCCACGACATTACTCACGTCTGGCCAACACAGTTGCTAATTTGTTAGGTCATTATTCTAGTAATTGTTATCCTCTCCACACGGATTGAAAATCGAAAACTGTCCGGAGCTTACCTATGTTATTACATGTTATTACGGCAAAATTCTAAATTTTCCGGATTGTACACATCCCAATAACATACTAAGAGTGATAATGACGGGCACGCCTGTTTCATCATGTCTTGTGAGCGACGATACGTGCTGTCCGCTACATTCAACTATATCATGAAATTATACTTTTCTGTTCAAAAGTTTTACTTTTGATAAATGTCATAATAGTTTGTAACTTGTCAATGACGATGTACGTGCTCGCGAGAGCTCGCGCAACTTCTTCTAGTAGTGGATGAAAGTATGTACGTGTGTGCGATTTGCAATTATTGTAAACCATCGCCTTCGTGGACGTAATTTAAAGACGTTTGTATTGTCTGTAAATTTTGGATCTGAGTGTGTTTTTTCTTTTTAGAACATTATAATTTATGTTCTATTAGCTAACTTTTCTATCACTATGAACTAGTGGATATGTGCGCGAGCTGCCCAATTCAGTGAGCTAGTGCTTTGGCTGTGCTGACGTCTTGCTCGTTATCCAGTGCAGCTTTGACCTTTCGAAGAGAATCACTGATACGATTAGCATCTGCTAGCTCCTGTAGCAGTTCCGAGATCTCTTTGTCATTCGCGATAATACGCAGATTTGACAAAAGGTACCAACCAAAATCAGCTTTAGAATCGGTCACTGCCCTATCCAGTTTGTGAAGATTTGTTAAGACATCAATGTCGAAGGTTTGATTATGCTGCAGATTCGGGTACTAATTATCTACCATGCCGTCTTGAAATTGGCCAACAGAGGCTGATAGTAGTCGCTGCGAGTGTTTGGTCGGAGACAATTCCATGAAGTCATCAATCAAAGAAAGGTTTTCTTTCTACAAAATTAACTTCACCATATTATATGAAGAAATTTATGATCATTTCGGAGGTATTGTAAAACTTTTTCATTTTTCATGAAGTGATTTGACGCAGTAGTCAAATATCAATCTCTCGAAAGCAAGACCAATCTCATCGTTGTTCCTTACAGCTTTCGCTACTGAAGCACGGAGGTAGCTGGCCTGAACGTTTGATGTTAGCGCTAATAAAATATACCTGTTTTTATCGGCTTCTTTAGCGAAGCATCAGCACGAACATTTTGATACCTTTTTGAAACCACTTCATGCTGAAAAGCTTGTCCGATTTTACATTTTTTTGATTGGTAAGAGGGACTTCTGGGGGCCCCTAATCTGTTGATACTAGTACCCACTTTAGGGGCGAGCGATCGAAGTGGCGTACCAAAGTTTATGAAGGGAATGCGGGGGAGGAAGATAAGAATTAACAATGCTCTCGACGAGATTGTGCGACTGGACATCGGTATGTGTTACACAATTAGTGTAATAACACAGTGGTGTGGCTACACCGTAATCAGGCAGGATTGCCAGTAGTAATGCATATTACTATAATAATTAGGCTTTGATACCAATACCGAGAGGCGTGAGAAAAGGTAGCGTGACCAAAAATTTGTCGTCTTCATAAAAACGACAATATTCTATATAATAGTGCAAAATGGCTCACTTATACGTGAACGCAGCAGTTCGATCAGGCAAGATTTTTAAGATACAAGAGTTGTTAGACAGACACACGATAAAGCAGTATAAAAATACAAACGCTGGGCTCCATGAACATACTTGCACGCAATGAGGATTCTTAGGATTAGAGCCTTTTAGCTCGTATTGGCAGTTCGCTAAGTATCCCACCAGAGATTGTATCAATGCAGCACCAATACTTCCTGTTCCATCAATAATTCCCGTGACAGTCGATAAAGCTTTTGCATTTTCTTGATACTCTTGTGATCAGCTGAAATAGCTGTACTGATTAGATTTGCAGGACCACCTGATGTGAGCAATAGTAACGCAGTCGCATGATAAGATGCACCATCCATAAAGTATAGCGTAATATAATATTTCAATTTGTTCAATGACGTACCAAGAGAAGAGCAACATCGTTACCACTACAGGTCCATTCTGTCTGAGACTAATCCGCTGATAAAATCACCAAAAATTGACCAATATCGAAGAGCATCTATACATATAATTTGAGACTATACTTGTTATCTCGGCAATTACGCTAGAAGCATACCGAAAAAGTACCAGCTTGTGAGCTATCCATGTGGAGTGAGACTGTTAGATAAAATGGAAGCCAAACGAACAATGCTTAATTGACAAACATAAGCCATTGCGTATGGAAAAGCTTGATGACGAAGAAAAGCACATACCAACACTTTCGATTGCCAAAACGACTTAGAACAAATCCTCAATCCAGGGATGCACCATCAACTTTTCCAGCTTCTACATCAATTTAGTCTGGTCTTTGTGAATGGCTACATCTGGTTTGGCGTCTTTTGATCACTGATAGCGATACATTACATCTATAGAATCCAGTCCAGCAGCTACCACAAGAGCTATTTTCCATGCTAATGCTTTCTCGACCAATGCAAACATTGAAGTGATAAGAACCGTACCGACAATATTACCAAGACATCCATTTCTACTCCAAATTCCAAGTACTGCACCTCGTTCGTTTTTGATAAATCACTTGCCCATTACTGCAACATAGCCACTTGATAACATAAGGCCATTTAGTCCCCATAGTATCGTACAATAGCTAAGTGCATGGATATTACCCAACGCTCCTAATCCAAGAAGTAAAGCATAGCTGCTGTAACCCACATACCACCAGCCATTATGCGTCGAACGTTACGTTGTCTTTTAATATGCTACGAACATACAAAATTGTCCATTAATCAAATTTGTTATGATAAAAAAGATTTGAAAAACATTTTTCATACCTGACATAGAAACCAAGCGCATTAAAAGTTTATACCGAAGTCCAAACATCTCAACTTGCTGCTCACGAGAGCGTTTTATGAGTCCAGCCACTTTTCAAGCGCCATATCTCTTGCAACTTGCATGAAACAACACGTAGCTAACAATTGTAAGAGAGTACACACCAAGTTTGGTGGCTGCCACCCCCTGGCAGCTGCGAGTAGATGCTAAAGATCCGATTTTTTTCCAGAAGCCGGAGCAGACCAGAAGAGAAAGATTGTCGACCATCGATCTATTATGTTTACGTATTTGCTGATCTTACATTATGTACTTAATCTTCATATATTCCACGAAACTGGCCCACGTCGAGATGGCACACGTTAATGTTCCATCATTTGTTGTCATGCACGAGCATAGCAGCTGATTAGCTTCCAAATGGATTGGATCTAATGTGCAAATTTTTCATAGCTAAAAAATAAATTCACTCTTCAAATTTCTGTGCAGTGCTCGAGTCTCTTGTTTTCAACAATGCAGCGGTAACGGTTTCATCTGCTAGTTGTTACACTGCTTTTGTCGTTCGTCGAGCTTGCATTTATTAATAATGTGCAAGCTGAAGCCGTCACGGAAGAACGAGGAATCCAAGTCGACGAAGGTTGGATGTTTCCACAAAATATCGTTAATAAACACAATGCTCGATTGGTCAAACGCTTTTTCAGAAATTTGCTCGATCAGCTTTCCGGAAGGAATTCGAAAACTGAAGTCAACATTGACGCTGCGATCAAGTCAGACTCCTCTTTTCGGGAGAAAACAAGCGAGGCAACCAGTTTGTTTAAATGGCGTCTCAAAAAGAATCCGAAAACTAAAGTCAACATTGACGCTGCGACCAAGTCAGACTCCTCTCTTCTGAAGAAAACAAGCAAGGCAACCGAATCGACCTTAAGGCAACCGCTTCTCAAAACATCTTCAATTAATGAGAACGTCAAGTAGGATAAGAGCGCTTCTCTGTAGTGGTTCCGAGTAATAATATAAAAATCAGGATGACTTTGTTTTCGATCCAATCCATTCAGACTTTTCGTCTGTGAAGAAAACAAGCAATTCAAGCGCCTCCACGTAGTTTTGAGATAGAAGATTGAATAGCGCACGCCCACCTAGTCTCTATTCTCCGTGGGGAGATACAGAGATTGGGGGCAATTACTTGTTCGCGGTCCTCGAATTCTAGGTTACGATGTACTGCACTTAATAAAAAGATGGAGAATGAAAAATTGCATTCTTATAACTAACAAAATAATTAGCAATGGATAGAAACTCAGAAAAGAGGAAGGCTCAAGCTTTGCTAATATTGCTCGTTTAGTACGCCACGAGATTTAACTCTGCAGACATTACAGCCGGTTTTGCAGAGTCAATAATTATTGCAGTGCAATGCTCCACATGTAATTGTGGTGGAGGCTTCACAGCGGCAGTTGAAACGACGCTTCATGAACGAAAACCTTGGATTCAGCCAAATGTAATTGAGGGAAAGCAATCCCATGATGACTTGAAACACAAGATCGGAAGCAATCGTCCTTTAGTTTCACAATCTACTTACGTGCTCGATATTCAGTATTTATATCAGCACTTTCGGGAAGTTGAATAAACAGAAGCAATACTAGGAGAAATGGTTTCACTCCGTGGATTTAATCACTATATTGAACTTTCTACCGGCAAATATTTATTCTCTCCGTGTTGATCCATGAAGCTCAGTCATGATTGATCTGTAATATCGCTCCGGAAAGAACATGAAGCAAGGAAAAATCGCAAAGAGACGAAAACATCCAGATAAAAAAGAGTTTTGATACAAAGAGGAAGGGAAACTGAATATGCAGCAGACGGGGAAACTAGAAATCTTCTGATCAAATTCTATGATATTCTCATCGCCAAATTTAGATGCAAAAATGAGAGTGACTGGACAAAATGGGAAGTATCTATACTGGCATTGTTGCTTCTAGCAATGGCTTAGTGAAGTTCTTTTAAGGCATCGTTTTTCTATGATGGGCTATACTTAGCCAATAAATAAAGGTACATCTATCGCAGCTCTCTGCTTAGAGGAAGCTAGCATCTATGGTAGAACCAGTAAGAGTGTAGCGGATCGCAATCCGCTACGTCCGAGAGTAGCCAAAACCTTAACCCAAGGTCAATATACTCTTTTGTTCAAAATTGAAACCGTCTTGTTTTTTTTTGCGGCAGAGCCGCCAACATCTAAAACCTTTGGTTCCGAATTAAAAAGGAAAATCCGCACGACTGTGGACGATGCACAAACATCAAAATATGTTTGTGCATACGTCCCATAGGGCCCAAACAACTGCGTCACAAGACGATGAATGTTGCTACTTCATTTAGCTGCCCTTGGTGCATCACCAGTCACTCCCAGAGCATCCCGCTCGAAGTACTTACCGCTGTCAGCGGAAAATCACTCGCTCTCATGAGCAATAGGTAATATCCATCTACCAAGTCGAATGCACTGTACTTCGTACATCCCACCTTGTTATTCCGAAGAACAGTCTTTCTAGGAATCAGCGTCTGAGCCGGAATGGTGGCTGCGTTGATCTTATTGTAAGCATGAAC